CCCGGCACCCGCTCCCGAGCCCCCAGGGAAGGGGTGCCAGCCCCGGCCCCGGCCCCAGGCGCACCCCGGGGACACCCGCTCCCTTTTTCAGCATCTTCCCCCGGCGCTTCCTCCCGAATCGGAATAAAACGGCGTTACCTGCTGGGCCCAACTCGGCTTTTCCAGGAGTATTTAACTTTGCCGGTCCCTCCTGGGAACCAAACAAGCGGCTCAACCTCACCAATCTCGCAGCTTTGGCAGCCAAAGTTGCCTCTAGTCTTCTTATTTGTCACAGAACCGCCGTGCTAAGGCTCGGGAGAATCTTTATTTAGTGTTGCAGATGTCACCAAGGCCCCGCAGATTGGAAATGAGTCCAAAGGATTAAGACGAGGTTATTAATTGGAGGCCTTCCCCTTTAAGAATGATTGACAGTTACTTTCTGGACAAGTAATTGCTCTAAATGTCCCCCCAGCGCGGGTCCGGGGGGGTGGCGGCGGACAAAGCCCCGAACTGCCTTCCCCACTCAGATTGTCTCCCCACAAAGGCGTCCTGCTGGAGTTTGCCTTGTAATCCCCTCATTACGGGCGAGGAAAAAGAATTAGAAACAGGGGGAGCGGAGAAGAAAGGCCGGGGTGATGGGGGGAAGGGGGGAGGATTTCCTTCGGCTGCGGTGGCTCTGCCCCGGGGATGGGGTCCGGGGCAGATGCCCCAAGCCTCAGTGGGATGAGGATGCTGCGGTGGTGGATGTCGTCCCCCCCAGATGGGGATGGCGAGCCCTGGGGGTGGCCCCAGTGACGGCGTGTGTGGCCCCACAGGCCCCCGGTGATGCTGCCTGCAGAACCCTGCCTGCGTGGGGACCGGGTGTGGGGACAGGTGTGACAGCCAGCGATGGGCACGGGGGTAGGGACCAGGCATGGGGTCCAGCTGTGACAACCAAGTGTGGGGACGGGGTACGGGGTTTGGGGACCTGCTATGGAGTCTGGATGTGGGGACCGGGTGTGAGGACTGGGCGTAGGGACCCGGGATAGGGACCAGGCACCCTCAACAGCCTTGGGGATCTGGTGTGGAGGCCAGGCGTGGGGAACAGCCACAGGGACCAGGGACAGGGACCAGGCAGGGGGACCAAGTGAGGGGACCAGCCATGGGGAGCAGGCATTGGGCACCATCCATGGGACCAGGCGTGGGTACAAGCCATGGACATGGGATTGAGTACGGGGACCAGGCGTGGGGACACCCTGTGGGGACCAGCTGTGGGGATCATCCCTGGGGGCTGCCCATGGCCGTGGGCATGTGGGGCAGAGGCAGCCGGGCTGGGGGGCAGAAATGCCATCCCTCTCCTCCCCCGTCCCACTGCCGACCCGGGGACCCTGGCCTGGGGGACAAGGGGAACATCACGATGGGGGTCCTGGGGTGCTCTGGGTGGGGGTTGCTCCGTGCTGCCCAGACCCCCCCGTCCCCCTGGGCAGGTTTTGCCTTTTCTTTCTCCGCTCGCTTTTACTTTCTCCCAGAAGCTTCTTCCTGCCACCTGCAAACGCTGCTGCCCCCAGCCGCCGTCTCGGCTTCCTCCCACTCCCTTCCTCTCCTCACTGTGGTTCCCCTTTTGGATGGCAAATGTCACTGCAGGGTTTTTGGACCCCCCCACCCCGTGCCCCGGTTTGGGCCCTGAGGCCATCTCGGTGTCCCTCCCGGCGGGGCTGTGCAGCTTCGCCTGCCCCATCTGACACCGTTCCGGGGATAGCGTGTTGCTGTCTTGGGGATGGCGTGCCACCACCCTGAGGACAGCATGCCACCACCCCAGGGGCAGGCTATCGCCGCACCAGGGATGGCGTGATATGCCTCTGGGGGCCACGCAGTCCCTGGGGACAGGGTGATACCCCCATGCCATACAGAGCTACCAGGGCCCCACCTGCAGCAGGGGTGTGCAGGAGGGACAGCCTTTGGGGGTGTTTGGGGACATCCC